AGGTCTTAGATTAGAACACCAAAGTGTGTGTGTTCCACACTAGAATTTACAGGAGCCCCTTGCAAGGAATAGTTCCTAGAAGAAACCTGCCAAGACCCTTTGATATTTTTTGATCATTTAAATGTTTAAAAAGAAGCGGACGGAGTGACGTGCCCTGTTTCCGAAGATGCGTCATTCCCGAGCCCTGCTCTTGCTGCAGCAACAGCCTCCCGGGCCAGTTCTGTACACAGGCGACCTACAATGTCAAGCCTACCCTGGGATATATGGCAGCTCTGCTCAAAGGCCTGCATGAATACGAGTGATCCCTGCAATAGCCTGGGACCTACCAGCAAGCCGCAGTAATGCTCTGCAGCAGGGCTCGTGCTAGGAGCCCCACTCTCTTTGCTGCCGTGAGACTCTTGATGCCCGGGGCTGTCTGGAGCTGGAGCCATGAACGGTTCTCTCCTGCCAGCGCTCGGTATGGAGAGCCCCTGCCACCCTCTGTCTTCCTCCTCCGCACCTTACCTTCCCATTGTCCTGGCCCTGCAGCAGCTCTTTTCCCAGCGGGTATCTGATCTCGATGCCTGGGGTCTTGTCGTCCCGATCCCCGGGGGAGCTGATCACGGAGCCGGAGACCTCGCTGACATCGCTGGCGGTCTCACTGTAATTGTCCGCCCCATCCAGCATCATGTCGTGTCGGCTGCCGCTTCGCGGAGTCCGGGAGCCCTTTTTCCCCACGCTGTAGGCATCGAAGTCGATGGTTTTGTTCTCGTAGGCCCCCTCCACCGAGGCGAACATGCCGCCGTATTTCTGCCGCGGGGTCTGGGCCGTGGTGCCCGGCCTGGCCAGATACACTGGCAAGTCATCTTCCTTGTTCCAGTTCCTCTTTCTCTCGGCCATGCTCTCCCTCCGGCTCTCTCCCTCCCCCCAGCGCCTCTGCCCCTGCCGCTACCGGGACGGGCGGCTGGTGACCATAAACACGAGTGATCGGCAGAGCGCAGGGGTAGAGCTGGGATGGAGGATGGGAGCTGTCCCTTGGGGAGACACAAGCCCCCCACCCGCGGAGGGAAAGCTGGCGGGGGCGTTGAACCAGCCGGGGTAGGACGCAGCACGTGAAATAAAGTACAAAGAGCCCGGGGGAGAGGCTGGCAGAGCTCGGCGATTGGAAAGCCCTGGGCGCATAG